TAGCTCCACCTTGAGGCCTTTTCGGGGAAAGAAATTATCTTAGCTGAAGAAATCATCTTACTATTCAACAACTTGATTCCCAACTGCCCAATCCATTTCTCCCAGACTTGTCCTGCTCAATAAACAGTACCACTGTCCACCCAGTTGCTGAAGTAAAAACCCAGGAATCATTCTCAATTCTTACCTTTAAAAAATGATTTTTAAAGGAGAAGGGAAAGGATAAAATGAGAGAGAAGGAAGGGGAAGAGGAAGGGAGGGAGAGAGAGAAATAAACACATCAATTTGTTGTTCCACACATGTATGCATTCATTGGTTGCTTCTTGTATGCAGCCTGCCCAGAAATCAAACCCAAAACCTTGTTGTATTAGGATAATGTTCTAACCACCTGAGCTATTCAGCCAGCGCAATTCCTGACTTTCTTACTTCACAATAATACAGCAGCAGGTCTACTTGGCTCTTCTCTAAAATATATCCCAGCCGAAACCGGATTGGCTCAGTGGTAGAGCGGGGGTCTGCGGACTGAAAGGTCCCAGGTTCGATTCCGATCAAGGGCATGTACCCTGGTTGCGGGCACATCCCCAATAGGGGGTGTGCAAGAGGCAGCTGGATGATGTGTCTCTCTCATTGACGTTTCTAGCTTTCTATCCCTCTCCCTTCCTCTCTGTAAAAAAAAAAATCAATAAAATATATATATTTAAAAATAAATAAATAAATACATAAATAAATAAATTACATCCCCAATACACTCACTTCCCCATCAGTGTTCTGTGTAAGCTCTGACACCTGGGTTATCTGCCACTTGGCCACCTGACAGTCTTCTAAATGGTCCCTCCCTTCACTCCCCCTTTCTACAACCCATTCTCCATACTGCAGCACTAGTTGTCTCCTTAAAGGAAGAACTATATATATTGTCATCCCCTGCATAAAACCAGATAATTTCCCTTTTATTCCTAACTAGAGGCCCGGCACACAAGATTTGTGCACTCAGGAAGGGGGGTTCCCTCAGCCCAGCCGGCACCCTATCGCAGTCTGGGAGCCCTTGGGGGATGTCCAGTTGACAGCTCAGGCCTGCTCCCTGCAAACCATCAGTCAGACATCCTTAGGGCTGCCATGGAGGTGGGAGAGGCCCCACCACAACTGCACTCACCAGCCATAAGCTCAGCTGAGTGGCCCTCCAGTTGTGGGAGCGCACTGACCACCAGGGGGCAGCTCCTGTGTTGAGTGTTTACCCCCTGGTGGTCATAGCAACCAGTCATTTCACCATTCGGTCAATTTGCATACTAGCCTTTTATTAGATTTATTAGATAGGATAATAAAATCCTGACTCTTAGCAATCATGGCCTTTAAAGATACAAATACTACTGTTATGTCCTGGGCCCTACCTCACCCTCCCTCTTCCTCCCTTGCTCTACTCACACTGGCCTCTCCGACCTGCAAGGACACAAAGCTCATTTCTGCTTCAGAACTTGTGCACTGCCTGTTCCTTCTGCCTAAAATGCTCAATCCTACATGTCATCCAAGTCTCCAACAGAAGCCTCTTCTCCTGTGTGGCTTTCCCTGCCACCTACTCTTCTCTCATCTCACCCTAGTCATTTACCAACACCTCTGAGATAAGCATGATCTTGGACTTGCACATACATTTATCTCTTAAAAATAACAAGTTACATGGCATGCTATGGTTATATAGGGTGGGGCAAAATTAGGTTTACAGTTGATCCTATGGAAAATAAAACAATAATTAATAAATACAAGAATAAATTGTGTTTAATGTACTCACAACTGTAAGCCTACTTTTGCCCCACCCTGTATATCTGTAAATATTTCAACACCATCACATTGTCAAGTTCAATTAAATAGTTGCTGACCACCTTCTATGAACTAGACAGTGTGGGAAACAAGATGGCCTTGCCCTAACCCTCTTAAGTAAAGCTTCTCCAGCTCTTGGCCTGGTCATAATGACACCAGTGTTTCAAAAGCATTGACAGAAATTTGGTAAAATCTCTAAGATATTCTCTCCTAGCCCATCACTAATCTAATTACATTCTACATACTCACCATGTATAGAATGTGAAATTCCCTCTCAGGGCTCACCTGTAGATGTCTACAGGGCATTTAACTTGAGTCCTGGGCACCAGGGTAACTTTGTTATCCCTCCTTTGGGGGCACTGTTCATTCCCGCTTCACAGCATCCTTAGAATACTCGTCTTCAACCATCTCTCTAGTATGAGATGTTCCCATTGTTCCCTAAACATTGTGCACCTGTTCCACAGGGCCTGACAGCAGCCCTCCTTTTTGTGTGCTTTCCCTCTGCCTCCAAAGGGAACAGAATGTCCCCAAACAAAACTGCGCTCAAAGAGAGACAACTGAGTCTCAGCCTTGAAAAGCAGAGCTAATCTAGTTTCCTTCTTAGTTGATGTAAAGACACAGACTCAAGGCCACTGGTTGTTAGAATGGTGGCCATGGGACAGAGAAAAGATTACCCGGGGGCCCTGTTTCTTCATCTATGAAATAAATTAGAGGAGATGATTCCCAGAGGCCTTTTTGACCTCAGAGAAGAACCCCAATCTCAGCCCCAGTAGGAGATGGCTTCAGTGAACGCCAGCATTTTCTCCACTCGGGGTTCCACTGACACTCAGCTGCTTCCCATTCCTACGGCACAGGCCCGCCTCCAAATCATGAGGACAAATATTCACTTTGGTTCACTCTAGGCCATTGCAGACTGACAAACATCACCACATCAAAACCTACCTCCCTGCCAAAACCAAACCTTGATGTCCCCAGGTCTGGAGATCACTCTGTGGTTGTTAAGACAGGTTTCATACCCAGCTGCCATGGCTCAGAGGTTGAGCATTGACCTATGGACCAGGAGGTCACTGTTTGATTCCTGGTCATAGCACATGCCCAGGTGTGGGGCATAAAGGAGGCAGCTGATCAATAATTCTCTCTCATCACTGATGTTTTTATCTCTTCCTCTCCCTTCCTCCTTGAAATATATATATATATATATATATATATATATATATATATATATATATATACACACACACACACACACACACACACACACACACACACACTCTAGAAGCCCAGTGCACAAAATTTGTACATGGGTAGGGTCCCTAGGTCTTGCCAGCCATCAAGGCCAATCAGGTTTCCCACCTCCTCCTTCCCTTGCTCCCTCAGTGCTCTGCCACTGCCACTAGCCTGCCATGTTCTGCACCACCCCTAGTGATCAGCACACAATTAGGCAAGCGATTGTACTCCTGGTATCCCTGTCAAACTCCCAAGGGGACACTTTGCATGTTAGCCTTTTATATATATAGATATTGAACAGGTTTCACACCAGTCCTTCACAAGCCTTCTATTCCAAATTTAGTTTTCATGCTGAATAACAAAGTCTGTCCCATGTATATCTTAAAAATCAGAAAGTTATTTTGGAAGTAAAATTATATGATATTTTTAGAAAATTCTTAAAAAGTAATAGTCAAGAGGCCAGGGAACCACTTAAGACACCTCTCTCTCTCTCCTGAGGTCTTTAGTCTTGGCCAAACGGACCCTGACAACCCTATGTGCAATCTTGGCTTTGCCTAGACCACCCTGCAGATACTTTCTTGTTGGAAAGATAGGGAGCAGGAGGCCAGTTTCTTTCTAAATGGACTTAGCTCAGCTCACCGCGTGGCAGACAGGATTTCAGAGGCTGCCAGTCAACACTTCCCCAGACAACACTGTATACCAGCGATTTTCAACCTTTTTCATCTCATGTCACACATACACTAATACTAAAATTCTGCAGCACATCAAAAAATATATTTTTTACTAGTCTGACAAAAAAGGTGTAATTTTGATTCATTCATACTAGATGGCTATTGTGTTGCCTATTTTCAATTTTTTTTTAATTGAACAATCTAAGGGAAAAGAGGTCATTGCTCCTGACTAAATAGTCAGGCATTGCATGTTTTAAAAATTCTTGTGGCACACCAGTATGCCTGCCATGGCACAGCAATTGAAAATCGCTGCTTGATTAACCCAATTAATGTTTCTCCAGTGAACAAGGAACTTAATACATATGTGTCACATAATGGGTGAAGAAAGAGAGCAAACAAGTGTTTTTTTAATATATAACTTCAATTATTCAAACTAGCTTATTATGTCTCCCTGTGTAAAAATATTTTAATAAAGACATCAGATAAATCCTTGCTAAATGATAATTTAAAATCTTGCTTCAAGTACAAACATACATTAAGTACAAACATACTTGCTCTCCAAACAGCCCAAGTACAAATTGGGCACTTTCTAGTGCGGGCATTTAAGCTTTTGATCCTGTATTTCATCTTTATGACTTTTTTCTAAAACATCACAAGTATATGCTTTGGGTTGGTTCTCTGTTCATCCCCTTTGCTGGGCAATTAAGATGTTCTTTTAATCTGAAAACTCATGACCTTCAGCTTTGGGAGATTTTCTTGCATTATTTCTTTCATTCATTTTTTGCTGTTCTCTCAATCAGAAACTCTTATTAGTCAGATATGCTGAAACTCTGAGAGTAATCCTTCTTACCATTCTTTCACATTTTTTAGTATTTTTGCTCTACTTTTCAACAACTTTGTTTTACTTTCCAAGATCTCTTCATCCTTATCTTCCATCTTTTCTCTTCAATTTTATTTCACCAACCATATTTTAACTCCCAAGAGCTCTAATTATTTTAATTTTTCCTTTTCCACAGCATCCTGTTCTTGTTTAGAAGACTTTATACCCCCTCGAACTCGCAGTGAACACTATTAAGAATTTCTCCCAAACTAGTTTTTTCACTTAATACACATACTTGGTTCACCAGGTGTTCTAATATTTATATCTCCATGATGTCCATCCACATGTCTGATCCTGCCCACCCAGGATAGAGGAAAACTGTACCACATGCAAATAGGCAATAATCAATTGCTTTTTTAAAAATAATAATTACAACAAAGGAAGTACCTACGTGCGCAAGAAGTGAGCCAGCTTACCTTCATGGAATCAGAGTATAAAATATATTCCCTGAGCACAGGCAGGAAGTCTTCTGTCATGTCATCCGTCAGCTCTTCCAAGGCTGTGGAGCAGTTGCCCATGCACGCTGACACGCCCTCCAAGGGTTCGGCCAGCTCCCCCTCTAGCGCGCTCCACGTGGAGTACACAGGCCCGTATTCTCTGAGCTCTACAAGGTACTCTGAAGCGGGAAGAGGAACCAATAAGCTTGGCTGGGCAGCAATCACTGGTATGACGGACTCAGTAACCAAGACGTGTTCACTCACCTGAGCATGCTCCTCTTTAAACACAACACCGCTTATAACAATTTTTTTTAATCTCTAAAAGCTGATCCTACAATCAGCTCCACCCCACAATGAGAATGCCCTGCCTCTGGGTAATGGGGACCATACTGCTTTCTGGAGGGGGGCGTGGTAGAAACCACATCCATCAAATACCGAAAAAATTAACCACTCTCCTACCCACACAGAGAAGCAGTATTTTAACAGTGGTGGTAAGAGTTTCCTATAGGTTTAAGGGGATGTGTGTGGTTGTGTGTTTTTTAAATCAGTCACAATGGAAAAATGGAATTTTAGGAAACATTTGATACAGGAGATGTGGTCTTACACAGGCAGACTCAGTCTTTCAGTCAAAGGTCGCCCCAGTCCCTGGTCCTTAGATGTGGACGGTACCGACAGCTAACTCCCAAACCTGCAGGCCCCACATGATACCATCAGTGGGTAAAGGAGAACTAAATCACAGGAACCAAGAAAAATGTTATTTCCCCTCACAAAGAAAGCCTGGCTCATCATTGTCACCAGGATGCTTGCCATGACAACAAAATGTTGCTGCCATTTTTTTAAGCAACCAATGGGTGGCGACTATTGGAGAATCCTTTCCAATGTGCTTCATATCGCTGCCAGCATGTTCATTAATACTGTTCAGGTATGTTTGGCTCACATGTAAGAAAATAAAAGGGGAGGGCAATGGTAAGATATGTACACATATAATACCTTAAATAAAAAAATTTAAGATATGTACATATATAATACCTTAAATAAAAAAATGGAAAAGAAAAAGATAAAAGGTCCCAACATTGTGGGATACAGAAAAGCAAGTGGCCACAAGAGGTGAGGGGAGGAAGTGGAAGAACAGCCAGGAAGAATAAAGAAAGACCTCACAACTCCCCAGGCCAGGAGAACGGGTTTGAAATGCAGCAGGAGCAGGGCACGTTAGGATCATAACTTCAGCAAGCACAGGTCACCATACTGTCCTTTTTAATTATTTCAGAGAGGGAAGGAGAGGGAGAAAGAGATAGAAACATCAACGATGAGAGAGAATCATTGATTGGCTGCCTCCCTGCACGCCCGATACTGGGGATCAAGCCTGCAACCCAGGCATGTGCCCTGACTGGGAAATGAACCATGACCTCCTGGTTCACAGATCAACACTCAACCACTGAGCCATGCCAGCCGGGCCTTTTGTCCTTTTGAACCACCTTTCTGCCAGAAAAGATACCTGAGTTTATTTTTAAGCTATTCTTATTAATGAAGCGAGGTTGAGTCAGTATCTCCACTTCTAAAGCTAAAGTTAACGGGGAAAGGGGAGAGCCTAGATGTTCAGAGGTGGCTGTTTGTCCCCGGGGAAAGCAAACACTAGGCTGAAACGCAGGGCAAAGGACGGAGCACAGGGTTATACTCTGCTCACAACTACCTCCTCCCCTCCTTGTTATTACTCATTAGTTTTATAAGCAGAACGTGGCCTCGCTCCATCACTCCAGCACTTCCCCATTTGATTCCGTTTAGCACACGACTGACATTTCTGCAAATGTGGCCTCTGAGCACGATCAAACTCGCAACAAAAAGCTCACCTATTTCTTCTTTGATGATCCGCTGGGCTATCCGGTCTATGGTTCCCAGTTTGAGTGCAAACGTGTCTAAGTATTCGCCGATGGCTGCAAACTCCAGAGGCCGACTCCTCAGCTTGTAGCCTCCAGTGACATGCTTGACCGACTCGCCCACTCTGGTCAGCAGCGCCATCCCTTGCTTCTTGTAGGCATTCAGGTCCTAAGGACGACAGATGGACAAACAAACTCGAAGGGCTCACTCACTCACCCGGCCAGGACTCAGTAACCAGCTCCTTCAGGCAGTTGCTCTTGGAAACGGGAGGACTCGGAAGATAAGGAGCTGAGGTGTCCTCTCCTTCCATCACTGCCACCAAGCTCATGGCCTGCCTTTCTAATCAGGTTCACTTACCTGAGCATGCTCTCCTTTGAACAACACTGTGTTTCCAACATCATTTTTTAAAAACTTTGACCAAAACAAAAAAGCCTCTTCCTCCCTTGCAAAACATCCTAAGTTGTCTTCAGAACCAAAATTCAAGGACTGAAATTTATTCCATTCATCTTATTTATATCTCCACCAAAGCCAAATACGTAGAGAGTAAAGGGTGGGAAGTCAGACATGGGGACAAAAGAGCCAGGGCTGAAAAACTCAGGGCAAGGGCAGCTGCTGTAACAAAACATTTCATGTTGGGCTTCTTTGTCAAGGCATACATGGGACATATAGTGAGCAACATAACCATTGTATCTCAGTTTAAAAACCACATTGGTCTGCCAGGTAAAACAAGCTTCTTCCTATCGCTACACTCCAAGAGGAGCTGTCAGTGTCTTAGGTTGTTCTATGTCCCTAACTTGAACGAATGGTGCCTGTTCAAGAAGATAGAAGATGCAGGGGTCAGCCCTAACCGGTTTGGCTCAGTGGAGAGAGTGTCGTCTGCGGACTCAAGGGTCCCAGGTTCGATCCCGGTCAAGGGCATGTACCTTGGTTGTGGGCACATCCCCAATAGGGGGTATGCAGGAGGCAGCTTTTCTCTTTCATTGATATTTCTAACTCTCTCTCCCTCTCCCTTCCTCTCTGTAAAATATCAATAAAATATATATATTTCTTAAAAGATGCAGGTGTTTGTTCCTTCTGTCCACCCTCAGTACAAACAGAATGTTAATTCCTAGTTCTAGAAAGGCATGTCCACAGGGAGATAAGAGACCACTGCTTTCTGGTGACCCAGTCTGATGTAGGGACAGGGCAGAGAACAGGGCATCACAGTGAACACAGCTGTCCATTTGACGCACAATCGTAGGCTTGGATCTCCATGACTGAAGTGTAGACTCCTCCTGATTTCACTTCCTTCTCCTTCTTCAAGCAGTCGGGACCTTCACTTTAGCTCTTGATTCTATCCTTCCTTTTCTACCCCTTCCCAACCACGCTCCCCCTCCCCTGTCTGTATTTTCAACTTCTATTCCTTCAGCATTAAACTATACCCAAGGCTTGCCCATCTTAAAAACAGCAGAAACCACCTCCAGCCCCCATCCTCTACTTCTTACCTTGTTTTCAAAGTCTGGCTGCCTGAGAGAATGTTCTAAAGAACCCATTTCCTGTTATAACTTCAGACATTCTAGACCCCCCCAAAAAAATATCCTCATAAGCACCAGGCTTTCACAAGGCTGTAAGTGAAGCACTGGGATTCTCAGAATTGCCTCCCCAGACAATATCTTTTGGTGTAAGGCTAGATTCAAAAGGGCTCCTTGAACTGCATGCGCTCTAGTTCAAGTAGAGCTTTGAAAGGGCAACCGCAGGTATCCAGGTTCATTAACATGCTGAACAGTTATTTACAGTGCCTCTCTGACTGCTGCACCCATTCTGCCAACGATGAACATAGTTGATATTGAGTGTCCCCTACCAATCCCAGCATTCCTGGCTGCTGCTTCAAGACACTTGTAGTTTGTGATAAGATCATGTCATCACAAGGAGAAGGATGCTTCTGCATTCACTGTGGCAGAGCGTGCAAGTGGGTAATTTAAGAACAGGACTAAGTGTTTCTTGATGTGTTAAAAGAAAAGGTGGGGTGCTGGGGAGACAAAGGGATGGGAATATGGGGAGTTGTTCCTTAATGGGTAGAGTGTTTCAGTTCTGCGAGATGAAGAAGTTCTGGAGATTAGCTGTCCAACAATGTGAAAATACTTAACATTAATGAACTATACATTTTCAAGTAAATAAGAGGGTCAATTTTATGTTATATGTATTTTTCCATAATTAAAAATAAAACATTGAGGTCATTTAGTGCATGTAGTTTGATAAATAACACTGAATTAGGGCTAGGCTTTGTTCTGCTTACCAAACCAATTACTCTTACTCACATGAATTTGGATTTTGATTAAGACATTGAAGAACTAATTTTTTAAAAATCATTGCATACTGCCTGGGCCACAGATAAATTACACACACACACACACACACACACACACACACACACACACACACATACACACACACACACACACACACACACACACACATCCCTTCCTATTTATTCTTCACAAAGATTCCCAATCACCAGGGCCCAAGTTACCCCCACCCCACCCCTTTACCTCTCTGTATAATTAAAATGACTAAGCTTGAGGGCCCGCCTGGCCATGGGCCTATAATTTGGGTGAATCAGTGAGTTGCACCTTGGAGAACAGGATGGATTTTACTTTGTATATAAGCTGAACGAACTATATCTGGGGATCAGTTCACTAAAAATATTTATTTAAAAAATAACACAAGTTTGACCCGTTGGGGAAAAGGCCACCTGGACAAAGAGAATACGAATGGGAATGCCATCAATGAGGCTAAAAGCCAACCGCAGTTTAAAAACAACAACAAAGACCTCAAACATTGAAGAACGTTCCCGTGTGATTTCCATTGTCTGGAATGACACCATCTCTAAAGACTTTAATGTCCACTAATGTTACCTGTAAATATTTCCCAATTTTTACCGTAAAATTATTTGTGTTAAAAGAAATAGGAAGTGTTTAAAGAAACATTTCTCCCTGCTTTTGGCAAGTGAAAATATTCTAACTTCCTCTGTGCAAGGGGCTGTTTCTCCTAAATCCTATCACAGTAACCATGCTACTGCAAAGGGCACCAAAAACACAGGCTAGTCAATGACACCCATGACAGTGGGCCATTCATGAAGGTGGCTTGTGAGAGATGGAAACAGCTTTTCAGAAAGGGCTGGAGAATGCTGTTTTGGTGGAAGAAATATGAAAAAAAATCTGTCCTTACCTTCGCAGTAAGGAAAACATTAAAGTGTTCATTGAAAGAAAGTACAGGATGATCCGTAATTCTTTTTAGGAATTTATCCAAAGCTTTTCTTCTGGTCTCCACAAACTCTTCCGAAAAACGATCCACAACACCCTTCACCACAAACTTCTCAGGAAGCGGCTATGAAGACAGGAAGAAAAATATTCAGAGCAACTGACAAAATTGTGCAAAGAAAAACCACCAGGCTAGCCAATCATTCCTATGACCCATCTGCCCAAGAACAGTATTTCTTAACTGCTCAGATTTTTAAGAAGTCATCAATATAAACATTAAAATATATATATATAGACAAATAAATCAAAACTACCCTGTCTAGTTTTTAAATGCAAGAAATAAAACACAAGAGCATATTTCCTGGATTACAGAAAACAGCCAGTCAGCATTTATCCAGTAAATCCAATAGTTAGTTACCTTCACATTGCTTGATGCACAGATGATATAATGAGAAAGTCAGAACAAGATAAAATAGTCTAAGGAAAGAAGGCAGATAACATCAACCACACAGAAACATATTTAAATCCAATAAGATTCTACTCCCAGCTCAAGAGGTAAAAGAATTTGGTGGATAGAGAAAAAAAGTACATATTATTTTAAAAATACATTTCCTTCTCCCCCTTTTTGTTTAGGTTTATAGGAAAAGGTTCTTTAAAATGTAACTTTCTTTACTTCCCTTACACAAACAAATTCCTCTATCATATTCTCTTTGAGCCAATATTGTGGGTAATTTCAAACTACCTGGCCACTGTAGGATCTCTAAGCTTTAACCGATTTTGGTAGTAGTTTGATAAAATTAAAAGGCCTTCCTCATTGATGCCACCACGGGAAAGAAAATATTTGCTAATGCACAATTTGAAATGTAATAGTTATGAAATATTAAAAGAGCATTCACATTAAAAAATGGGCAAGTGATCTGGTCAATATGTCTCCAAATAAGATAAACAAATGGCCCAATAAGCCCATGAAACAATGCTCAATGTCATTAGACCTTAGAGACATACAAACCAAACCACAAGGAGAGACGCTTTCGTACTCACTAGGATGGCCATAATCTTAAAAAGAAAGAAGAAGAAGAAGAAGGAGAAGAAGAAGGAGGAGGAGGAGAAGGAGGAAGAGGAGAAGGAAGAGAAAGAGGAGGAGGAGGAGGAGGAGGAGGAGGAGGAGGAGGAGGAGGAGGAGGAGGAGGAGGAGGAGGAAGAAAAGAAAGGAGAAGGAGGAGGAAGAGGAGGAGGAGGAAGAGGAGGAGGAGAAGGAGGAGGAGGAGGAGGAGGAGGAGGAGGAGGAGGAGGAGGAGGAGGAAGAAGAAGAAGAAGAAGAAGAAGAAGAAGAAGAAGAAGAAGAAGAAGAAGAAGAAGAAGAAGAAGAAAGAAGAAGAAGAACAACACACCAAGTGTTTTCAAGGTTGTGAAAAAACTGGAACCAGTACTTAAATCCACAACTTGTTCAAACTCCATAATATGGCCATCATGAGATGTTTTCTTTTAACTTATTAATCCTTGAGAACAAAACACACACACACACACACACACACACACACACACACACACACACACACAATAACAACAGAAATAAGATACAGCAGCAAGGACTTAGCCAACCCGAAGAAGGGGCATACTAAGTCATCAAGTGGAGCAGGAGAGACAAGAAGCAGCCCAGATTGATAACACGAAACCTTAGAAAGACTTAGGAACTGGCAACACCAGCACCCCTGGAAATGGACAGTTGGAAAAGCTTTGCAGAGCCAGTATGTTTTAGTTCTCGAGAGTGAAGGCCGTGCCTCCTGGGATCATCTTTCACCTCTGCCAAAGGGTTTGGCTTTGGTGAAGTTCTATAATCTCTCGGTACCTCAGTTTTTTCTTCTGTAAAAAAAAATAGATAACAATAGTACCAACCTCATGAGGATTAAGTTAACTATGAAGTTTTGCTTCAAACAGTTCCTGCCACCGAGCAGACACTTGATAGAAGTGTGTGAGTTTGGGGCTGTAGGAGTGGCTACAGCTTCAGGGGACTACTGTTCAGGTAGACCCGGAGACGGTAAGAGTGTTTGGAGAAAAGGTGAAGAATAAAGAGATTTCTTTTTAACAGAGAAGGAGTTCTACAGGGCCCAGTGGGAAGGGTTAGTGATACAGGAAGAACTCTTAAGGGAGGAGAGCCAGGAATAAAATGATGGAGCCGCATGGGGATATCGATTGATGTCCATACTTGGGTAGAATATTAGACACGCATGAATAACTCAGACGCAAGGCCACCCAGCCCAATGTTCCGGCAGCAGAGAAGCTGCCTTAACAGGGTATGTATGGCTGTCCTTTAGGTTAATTCCTTTGCTCTGCTCTATTCTTCTCTCATTCCCTTAAGACAGCCATCCTCCTGAAACCCTACGCTCAGCTGCCAACATTTCATGCTAAGCAGATTACCATCTCTCTGAAGGTACAAGGGCAGCACATGGGAATTCCCTAACCATTTTGCTTCCTCCACAGAAACCCATCTACTGGGCACCACCCTCACCTCCATTCCTCCGATCTCTGTGGAGAACATGCTCCTTCTCATCCAGCTCTATGCCCTGAGTCTATAAAAATATAGCTAGACCCAGCTGGTGGAGCATCAACCTATGAACCAGAAGGTCATGGTTCGATTCCCTGTCAGGGCACATGCCTGGGTTGCGGGCTCGATTTCCAGTGTGGGGCATGGAGGAGGAAGCTGATCAATGATTCTCTCTCATCACTGATGTTTCTAGCTCTCTCTCCCTCTCCCTTCCTCTCTGAAATCAATTAAATATATATATATATATATATATATATATATATATATATATATATATATATATTTTTTTTTTTTTTTTTTTTTAAACAGCACACACTTGCTTTTGGTTAGAGTGTCATCCTGTGCACCAAAAGGCGATGGCTCAGTTCCCAGTCAGGACACATACCCTGGTTGTGAGTTCCCTCCCCGGTCCAGGTGCAATAGGTGCAGGAAACAATAGGTCAATGTTTCTCTCTCACATCAACATTTTTCTCTCTCTTCCCTACTTCTCTCTATGCAATTACGTGCTAACAAACACACATATCCAGCACACTTCTAGTTTTAAGATGGCATTTTAAGAACATCTGGTTATTTACTTCTGTTTTTAAAATTCCCAAGGCACCATGCAATATTAAAAAGAGAAAAGGCTGTTGCAGCACCAAAAAATATACTGTTAAGAGGACAGAGTTTGTTAAAGACAAAGCAGAAAAGCTTGGGTGGAGAGAAAAGTCAATTGATATCAACCATCTCGGGCAAAGGAAAGGTAGGCTCAGGAAGTAAGGGGTTGGGTTTCTCCAGTTGAGACCCAGAAGCTGCCAAGTTCAGAGCCTAGAAACAAAGGCCGGCCTCAAGGCAGCCAATAGGGAAAGACAAAGCATAGAACTTGGGTGCCTCCCCAGAACTTGGCTGACGGTTCACCAACAGCTTCACGTGACTCCACCGCAGTCCCGGTAGAGTGGGAACTTTCTCTCCAGCTCCCAACATAAGCAGTAGAGTCTGAAAGCTCAAATACCCTCACATGTTTTTAATGACAATTGACTTAAGTTGGCACAAACAAACAAAAATCAGAAACTCCTCCCCCTCCCTCCTAATCTTCCCTCTGATTCAAAAGATTCTGAAGTTAATCTTGAAAAATAAAGCGTGCCCTGGTCACCCACTTGGATGGCAATAACCAAAAATAGATTATAACCAATGTGGATGAAGATGTGGGGAAGTTGGATTCCTCACACACTGTTGGCGGGAATGTACAAGGATGCAGCCGCCTTGGAAAACAGTCTGGCAGTCCCTCCCAAGGTTAAGTATAGAGTTACACATGATTGAGCAATTACACTCCTAGGGATACACCCAAGAAAACAAAAACTTGCATGTGAATGTTCGTAGCAACATTACTCATAATAACAAAAAAGTGGAAACAAATCAAGTGTCCATCAAAGGTGAGTAGATAGACAATACGTGGCATATCCACACAATCAAACGATATTCAACAACAAAAAGAATGCAGCACTGATACATTCTACTACATGGATGAACCTGAAAAACATTACGCTAAGAGAAAAAATCGACTCATAAAATACTTCGTAGTGTATGGTTCTATTTATATGAAATGTCCAGATTAGGCAATTCTATAGCAACGAAAGTCCATTAGCAGTTGCCCGGCGCTAGGGAAGCCAAGGTTTGGAAGTGAAAGGAGTAGATTTCATTTTGGCAATGACAAAATGATTCTAAAATTGATTGTGCTGATGGGTGTACAACTTATGAATATACTAAAAGCCCATGACTTGTACATTTTAAATGGGTGAATTGTGTAGGTATAGTAATTTTATCTCATTTTTTAAAAATAAACAAAAAATGGATACAATGATTACACTAAGTAAAGCTTAGTGGATCTCCATCTGACAAACTCTTCAGGGTGAGAGTCTCTTGTCTGTCTTATAAGCCCTCGCCTTCCCAAAGGTACAAAGATGATGCTTAATAACAGGTAGACACCTCCTAGCAAAGGTGCTGCAAAATGAATTTCCATAGGGGAAAATTTTTCTTGTTCCCAGTTTGACTTTCCTGCTTCAGTCAGAGATGCTCTCCTATATTAAAACTCTCTGCAGCCCAGCCGGTATGACTCAGTGGTTGAGCATTGACCTATGAACCAGGAGGTCATGGTTTGATTCCCAGGAGATCATGCTGGGTTGTGGGCTGGATTCCCAGTAGGGGGGTATGCAGGAGGCAGCGATCAATGATTCTCTCTCATCATGGATGCTTTTATCTCTCTCTCCCGCTCCCTATCTCTCTAAAATCAATTTTTAAAAAAATAGTTTTTAAAAAATCTCTCTGCAGCCCAGATATATACTAAGAATTTATGAAGAAATTTAAGTTTCCACTTGCTTCTAAAACCCTTCCTCCTCACTGCTTCTACCCAGACCATAGGAAACCATACTTAAAGATACTCTGGATCATGCTAAGCATTCTGGAGACTTCCATTCTCTTCCAGTTCTGGCTCCAACGCCTGCCCAGGAGTGCTACTATTTCACCAGCAGGGGTTGCTATCTGACCTTTGATGGTAAAGCACTAAACCTAAAATGCACCATCTGCCAGGAGATGGAACACAACTCCCCTAAAGCACGCAGTGTGAGCTCCACATAGAGAGTGACTTCCTTCCAAAGAGCACAGTATGGAAAGGGGGAGAAAACAAAAGCAACCACAGCGGAGAAACCTGGCAAGCACTACCTCAAGTCAGGTGATCAAGGTGAACATCAACAGTGACACATACAGTGCATAGAAGGGACCCTTGATAAGATGCAAGAAGAAAGGCACTTTACCTCTGTGCTTTTTCCTCCCCAAAACGCATTACCCTGGTCAAATCATGAGGAAAACATCAGCCGAGGGGCACTGTACAAGATGCCTGAGCAGCACACCCCAAACCCCCAGGGTCATCAAAAACAAGGGAAACCTCAGAAACATCACAGCCAAGAGGAGCCTAAGGAGACCTGAGAGCTAAATGTAATGCAGTGCCCTGGTGGGACCCGAGACAGAAAAAGGACATTAGGCAAAAATGGGGACCCAAGAAAATAAAGGGCTTTCAGGAAGCAATAAAGTACCATGACTGGTTTGCTCACTGTGACAAATGCGCCATATTAAAGTGTTAATAAGCAGAACAGTATGGGGTGTGGGAGAACTCACTGTACTATCCTTGCAATAATTCTGGAATTCTAAAACTGTTCTAAAATAAAGTCTATTTTTTTAAAAAATTGCTAGCTGCCAGTTTTGCCAAATTAAGATTTTTTTTTTAAAGATTCTATCTTAAGGAATAGTTCCAATGGTTTCAAAGCTATATTCTTTTCTTTGGGCACATTTTTAAGTGATTATAAGACAGAAAAGCAAAACTCCAGGCTTGGAGAGCGGAAGGGTGGAAGAGGTGGGGGGTAGGGGTAGAGATGAGGTAGGTCCCTGAGAAAGAACAGAGGCCCAGCCACCTCCCATCATTCCCATCACAGCACTAGCAACATGACTGCTTTTGCCTTGAAAATCACCAGAGTGTCACGGATATTCAGCCCTTCCCACCCGTGTGTGAAAAAGCAGCAGTGGGAACAGGAAAATTGGTAGGGCTCAGAAGTTATTCAGCCAAGCTCATTATAGAAAGAGAAAGCCCTGCTGAAGAGGTTTATGACCTCAATTGCTCTAAAGCCACCACAACCCCAAGAAACATCTGGAATGTAAACAGCTATTACCTCTACACTAAAAATAAATGTAGTCAGGAAAGCACTCAACGAGTATGCTGATTTCAAGTGGTCTTTTCTGTTTTATTTACTCTGGTTCTGGTTTAAAATGTGCAGATATAAGTCATAGGTAAATATTATGCTGCTTAAATAAATAAAAGTAAGGTGGCCTTGGGTTTGTTTTTTTAAACGGAAAACTGGTGGAGTGGATTGTGTGCCAGATTCCTGCCCCCTGAGTTACCCACGTCTAAAGAACGCCCAGCAGCTGCGAGCGGAGGCAGCGTTCTGCACCTGGCGGCAGCTGTCCAAACCTCAGGAACAGTGTCTCGGGAGGGGAAACAGACTTTAAACGGGCAGCAAATGGGAACTAAAACTCTCCATACTTCAAAAATTGTCATAATGGAAGTGAAAGAGGTCAGAGAAAGACAAGCATCACATAATCTCACTCATATGTGGAATCTAATGAACAAAATAAACTGATGAACGGAGTGGATCCGGAAACATGGAAGCATGGGACAGAGTGCGGAATCTAGGAGGAAGCAGGGATGGATGGGTGGTTGGGAGGTAATCAACATAGACCTTGTATGCACAGATGCATAACCCATGGACATAGACAACAGTGTGATGAAGACCTGGGGCCGGGGGTTGGGGAGGGCTAGAGGGAGTCAAAGGGGGAAAAAGGGAGGCATGTGTAATATTTACAACAATAAAGATTTATATATATATATATATATATATATATATATATATATATATATATATATATTATTGATTTTTTACAGAGAGGAAGGGAGAGAGATAGAGAGCCAGAAACGTCGATGTAGAGAGAAACATCGACCAGCTGCCTCCTGCACATCCCCTTCCAGGGATGTGCCCGCAGCCAACGTACATGCCCCCAACTGGAATCGAACCCGGGACCTTTCAGACCGCAGACGGACGCTCTACCACTGAGCCAAACCAGTTTCGGCAAGATTTATTTTTTAACAATTGTCATAATGGAAGTGAAGAACTACCCCATCCCACTCAAGAAAGCAGCATATTATATAGCAAATCAGAAACCAAAACCCAGCCCTAGCTGGTTTTGCTCAGTGGATAGAGTGTTGGCCTGTGGACTGAATGCAATTCTGGTCAAGGGCATATGCCCAGTTTGGGGCTCAATCCCCAGTGGGGGTAAGGGGGGATGTGCAGGAGGCAGCCAATCAGTGATTCTCTCTCAACATGGACATCTCTCCTTCTTCCTTCCCCTCTCTCTAAAAATCAATAAAAATATATATATATTTTTTAAAAGAAACCAAAACCCAAAGGGTAATATATATTTACACAGTATCCATAAACATTGGACTGGTGAATCTGGTCTAAAATGTAAGGCAGAGTTTGCCCATAACTTAAGGGGTGAGAGTTGATTGGACAGTCTCAGAGAAGAAAATGCAGGAAAAATGAGTAATAAGCTCTAGTGACTTAGTACCTACGGGAATGAGATGAGTGGGCTGCGATTCTTCCAGTTTGCTCCTCAGCCAGTCGAAATCCTGGTATCTTCGACGGACAGAATATTCTGGCAGGTCAAACTCCACCCGAGTACTCTGCGAGTAAGAAGAATGGAGCAAAGTGAGCATACGAGAATCGGAGTCTGTCCTGGCAGAAGGGGAGGGAAAACACTCTCTGTGAATGACGAGCCTGCGCAAGAACACACTTTCCTTCCACCAGACACACAGCCAAAGGGCAGGGCCTTCCAACACGGAAGGGGCCTGGGCCACAGGGCCCAGTTAAAAGTTTGAGGATCCCGAATGAAAAGGTCCACGTGTGTGAGTGTGTTTTCCATCCTCACGAAGTGGAACTCAACTATCCCTCAGAATTGTGTTTCGAAACATTTGATTCATTTCCTCCAAGCTTCAGTTTGAGAATTTCTTTAGCCGAATCACTCCACTGAAGATATTGCTACTGAATCTGAATCTGTGAATCTGTGAAAAGGAATTACATCTCCACTTTCTGATAAATATGTTCACAAGTTTTGCCAAAGGCAGGGGGAGAAACAAACAAACAAACAGAAAGTAGAAAGAACAGACCATCAGCTCATTTAGGACCCAGATTAGATAAAAATAGAAAAGGTTTTGCCTCATTTGCCATATTCTGGCCAGAACCATAACCTTGAAATTACATTGTATTTCAGATGATAAGAAAAAAAAAAAAAATCTACAAATAAATATACCAAAATGTCATTGTATGGAATAAAAATATTTTCCTCATCCCCATTCCTGAATTTAATTTTTCTGAAATGGATTGTAGCATTTTGATGATGAAAATCAATGTTAAGTGAAATTAAATTAATTTACAGGAAAACAAGATTTTTACACATTAATCTGCCCAAACTAAAGTTGTCTCAGCCAAACCATCTTCTCTATAGGGGTAACAACTGTAGGACAGTCACACTTCTCAGGTATTAAAGTACAAAATAAAAATGGCTCAAGCTACATTTCCTAAAATTACCCCTTAAAGCCAAAATGTTTTAGCCACACCATCGAGAATAAAACACACAGGAAAGAGTTATTCATCAAAGAAAAACTGTTAAAGGCTTTGGCATTGAAAATTATGATTTCACCCTCCCCGAAAGCTGTGCTCACACAGTCTGGCTAAAATCATGCAGTCAAAGGACTCAGCCTTGGACTGGACCCCAGCTAACTCTTTCCGCATCTTTTCTCCTTTTCAGAGCCCCTCGCGTTAGCTTATGCCCACGAGACACAAACTTCTCCTATGATGGAGCATAAGGATGGGACGATGTGGGGAAATTCATTTAACTTAGGTGTTTGTGATTTATTGGAAGACTCCCCAAAGGAATTAGCACCGTAGAATTGGGGGAGGGGAGGGGAAGAATACTTAAATCCGAAGAACAAATCACTGCCCACAAATTCTCAGGCGGACGGATCATGGAAATACTGAGGGCAGGCCGCCTGAGGAACTCTGCGCGTGAGCAGTCCTGGAACACCACTAAGCCTCTTGGGTCTCGTCCACAGTTAGAAGACAGTTGGAAAGGACAACCTTGAGATCCCAGAGAGCCCCCCCCCACCCCCCTCGGCTCCATTTCCCTGGGTTTTCCGCCTCTTGGGACCTACCGACCCCAAGAGTGTCTTTTTTTCTTCCTCACTCAGCGTCAATTCCATGAGCCATCACGTGGGCCTCTGATTTGCCAATATGCCCCTTCCCACTGTCCATCCCACGACTCTGGCAGAAATGCAGCCACCACTTCTTACTCACAGGGACCCGGGCATGTGAGCACATTCCTGAAGGAAAAACCAAGTCAGCAAACACACTGGTCAACACAATAAGTTTCCCAACTGGACTCTCAATACTGGCAAGCAATCTTTCTTCACTTCCTTAATCAATTCTCTTCCTCATTTTCCACATCAGCTAATACAAAGCCGGTACAAGTTTTGAGAACTGGTAAGCCCCACTTCAAAACTTCCCTATCACTCCCAGTAGAAGACCTTATACCTTTCCACAGAACAAACTGCAGCTATAAGCAAAGAACCCTCAACTTTCCGCCACAAAAAGACTCCCCTCCTTTCTCCAGAAACAATGAAGGAAGTCCACCTCCCTCACTAGCGGCCACTCCCTCCCTCCACTTCTGCCCAGGGTACTACCTCCTCAGTGGCTTTCTACTCTCCAATCTTCAACCCCATGTCTCCTTCTCCTTCCACACTGGCCACCTGGCTCTTAAACAGGTTTCATCCATCCTTTAAAAACAAACAAGAAGCCCACCCCGCTCCAGTTCACATCCCCGTCCAGCTATTGTTCTTTCCCTAGACTCGCTTTCATTGCCAAACTACCACCATTCACAACTACCACCTTTCTTTCCTCTCACACCCTAACCCACTGCCAACTAGGTTCCACCCCACCACGTCAACGGCACTGCTATCCCACAGTCAACAATGACCTTCTTGCCATTAAATCTTCTGTTTATTTTGTAATCATCATCTATAACCTGATCTTTCAGCAAGATTCAGCCTGTTGAACCACTGAGGCATTTGAAAAGAAAAATTAGTTGGGCCCTAAGTGGTGGTAATGGCTGGTGATAGGGTAAAAGACAAGAGGAAGATGGCTTTTAACCTCCAGTCTGCTTCCACATCATTGTCAGTGTCAACAGCCAAGGTAGTAAACCACAGTGCTTGGGTAGGCAGGGGAAGGCGGGGGTGAGGGGTGGGGGTGGAGGGAATCCTCTCTTAAAAATCATGTCATGTCCTGAGTCCAAGTTCTAGCTTCACCACGTATTAGTTGTATGTCTGAACAATTTCCTTAGTATCTCTGTGTCTCAGATTCCTCATCTGCAAAATAAAAATACCACCAGTACCTATTTCATTGTGTGTGAGGATTAACTGGTGATACCTTTAAAGCACTCAGCACAAAATAAGTGACAGCTCATCCATACCACAGAGCACTATTGCAGAATCAGAAATGACAACATAAAAGCATGTTTACTGGCATTTGTTAGCATAGAAAGACCTTTGCTAACAAATGGTCTTTAAGTAAGTGAATTGACAGCATGTAAAATACTCATTTTTGTAAATGAATAGAAACAAATGGTTCCTAAAGTTGTGATTATTTCTGGCTAGAGGGCTTATTTATTTCATTGTTTATTTATTTCATTGTTTTAGCTTGCTTGTGTTTTCCACAATGAGCATATATTACTTATATAAAATAAAATTTAAAGCGTTTCTATTGCAAACAAGTATAGCGCATGGTAAGTGCTCAATTATTAGCTATTATGGTGATGTTACTTTCTAGGTGCCAGCTGAGAAAATCGCCAATTCAGCCTGCCCTGAAAAGATCTCTCCATAATTAGGGAGATAAGAAGTCCACGACTTAGATTCACTTTGCCTACACTGTCTCTCAGGCTTAGAATCATTTCTTCTTAAATTTTTATGTATTTATTTTGAGAAAGAGAGAAAGATACAGATACAGATAGAGTTAGAGACAAAGAGAACGAGAGAGAGTTGTTCCACTTTTTAATCAAACTCATTGTTGATTCCTATATGTGCCCTTTGCTGGGATCGAACCCACAACCTTACCATATCGGGACGACACTCTAACCAATGGAATCTTTAGGCTCATTTTAGCTCAGACAAAAGCAGCTCTGTACTTTGTCCAGCTTTTCAGTCATCAGGAATCTGAAGTAGGACTGTAAATCAAAGCTCAAAGTAATAGAGTAAGTATATGTATGACCTTGTCTTCTGACCATGAACTTTGCTTGAGAACCTCAGTAGAAGGAGGGGCTCTGGGATAAGATCAGGTGTTTGGGACCCTGTATTCCTGTGTGTCCTCTCTCTCATCCTTGCACGAATCCTTTAACACAACCTTCAGAAAGAAGGCCCCAAATGCGTCACCCAACCATTAAACCTTGGAACCGGAAGAGAAAAAGACTCTGGTCTAAGATCAGAAGTGGAATTGACAGTAAGAAGTAAAACTTAATATTGCAACAAGTTTACCTGGAGGTGTTAACATCGCAGCCAAATGAAAATGTGGGACTGGAGCATGAAAAAGGTTATACTGAGACATTATCTGACTTACTGGAAATCAAACAGCCCCAGGAAAAGGAAGAGAAATAAGACCACAGTGAGAAAGGACAAGGAAGCCAGTGAAAAGAAGAGGCACAGGAGAGAGCTCGTGGGGTAGCCTGTGGAGCAAGGCCCTGCAGGATTGGCGTGTGGGAGGTGAACGCAGGGCTGAAGTAACGTGGCAAGCATCGCTGTGCGGCAAGGCAGTCACCTTGTCACCCAGCTGTTCAGAGCACAAATTCAAGAAAAACAGGTTTTGCATTTCACTGACTGCAGGTTAAAAAATAAGCTGATCCTAGGGGAAAAAATAAGTAACTGGAAATAATTCATGGGAATACATTATATCAAGCTAGGACTTCTGAGGAGATAATACGCATCCAAGCACCTAGCCCATAGTGCCTGGGACGCAGTAGGTACCCAGTGGCAAGGGCAATGGGGGAACACTGTGTGAGTGCATGTGTATGTGATAAATATTCAAATGTGAACCAGGTGTGAGAAGACAAGGCAGTGATAGCACAGTGGCACATAGCAGAAAGTCCAGAACTATTAGTTTCCATCCTTCTCTTACTCCTTCTCCCCCTTCCATCAAGCCTAATTATACCAAATTATAATCATGACATCATCACAGAGGTTTAGATTAACACAATGACTTATAAGTTTCAAATGCAATGTGATAATAATACGTTAAATAGTATCATGATAGAAAATAAGGGAAAGTGGAGTTGAGCCTTGAAAATCACAGGGGTAGGGGTGCTGATCCCCACACACACATATCCATATAACTTTTGACTCTCAAAAAATTTAACTACTAATAGCCTACTGTTAACTAATAAGGTGAAGAGTCAACTAACACATATTTTGTATGTTATATGTAGTATATGCTATGTTCTTACAATAAATCTAGAAAAAAGAAAATTTTATTACAAAAATTTTAAGAGAAATACCTATACAGTATTTAATGAAAAAAAAAAATCCATGTATATATGGACCCACACCATTCAAACCCATGTTGTTGAAGAATCAACTATATAAGGATTAAAGGTTTTTTTTGAAAGACTGTAGTCACAATTTATCCTTCATTTTATGATCAAAAATACATATATATATATATATATATATATATATATATATAATCCTTTTACTCTGAATATATCTACTCTCTCAGAAAGCCATACCCACAATTATAAAAGGGGAACAGAACTGTACAAAAGGAGAGAGAAAGCAAAGGCAGAAATCACGGAGGACTCTCATTCTCCAAGACCAATCAACATGGGCACAAGATAATAAAGGGACCTACTTTGGTGGTGATCCTATACGTGATATAGGTCTCCATTGTACAGACATGCTTCTTGGGATCATCAACGGTGACAAAGAGATCTCTGGTCTCACCATCGATGTCATCATCAAGCTGAAGTCTGTTGAGAAGGGAAGATGAAGAAGCTGGACTCGAAGTGCCTGCTGGAGTTCCACCATTGGGCAAAATGAGATCCTGAAAGAAGAAGAAAAAAATCATCTTACAGATTAAGTGAAAACATACCTGGAGAATATCAGCAAAAGTAGCTAGTTTACCCAAAGCAATAAACACCTCTAAATACAAACAAAACTTTCAAAAAATCTGAACCTCTCCTTACATAGTGTTTCTTAAGTGAGTTCTTTTATGACCAAGAGAAACAAGCCATGGCCCAGTTCTATACCAGATTCACACTGATTCATCTTCCAGCAAAGAATGGAGGAACCAACAGAAGCAAATAATTGAGACAGAATATAAAACCCCCGCCATCATCAGACCTCAACAGCAAGTGAACTTGGTGAGCACATCATAAACTCTCTCCCACTTTCTCACCTACCACCTGGGCCCAAGTAAACATTAAGGGATCTGAGTTTTCTAAAATATTTAACACATTTAAAAATTCAATTAACCAATGTGAAGAGACAGCTAAATATTTTGTACCTCCTGAAAGAAGCTCATTCACAAAACTATCTGTGAAGTATAATTGCCAAAAAACTGAATCTGAGTCCTGAACAAATCTCTGTATACAAGAAAAATTTACAGGAAATACAGAAGAGTGAGGAAGATGTTAACAATATTATGAGGATGCAGTCAGCAAACTCCTTACTATGTGAAATTAAAGAGAACTAAAAACCCAGTTTCTTCAATAAAGAGAGAGAGGGGGGGGGGGAGAGATAGGAGAACCTAGAGATGTAAAAAACCTTAAGAACTTAAGAGACTTATAAAAAATTACAATGGAATCTGATTAAAATAAAATGTTAAAAGATTTTGAGACACTCAGGAAAATTTGAATAGTGGTCATTTGTTCAATGATATTAAGAAAATTTTAGGGCCCCTGGCTGGGAAACTCAGTTGGTTAGAGCATCATTCTGATATGTCAAGGATACAGGTTGGATCCCCAATCAGGACACATACAAGAGTCAATCAATGAATGCATGAATAAGTAGAACAGCAAATCTCTCTCTCTCTCTCTCTCTCTCTCTCTGTCTCTCTCTCTCTCTGTCTCTCTCTGAAATAAATTTTTATCAAAAAGAAATTATTTCTTAGAAATATATACTAAAATATTTATGGATGAAAAGATAGGATGTCTGGATTTGTTTCAAAATAATTAAGGATAGGTAGTTGGGGATATAGATACTACGAGATGCCCCATTGTTGATAATTGTTGAAGCTGGTAATTGCAGGTCCATTATACAATTCTCTCCTTTTCTATAAATGTTTAAAATTTTCCACAATCAAAAAATATTGGGAGGGGTGGAATGGGGGCTGTGGGCAAATGCCAGGGGGGAAAAAAGAGAAGGAAAGATTTTTTTAAATTATGGACTTCTTTCTCTTTAGGCCCTAGTAGGAAACCATTTGAATAAATTAGGTCCCTAATATTCAAAAAGGTGCAATCTTACAGTTTTCTTTGGTTTTAAGATTTGACAACAGAACAAAGCCTTGCCTAGATGTATTAAAAACCTCTGAATGTCCCTTTGCTGTCGTCACCAGGAGACAAACACCAAGGAACATGGCAAGAAAGCGAGGTGGCACCATGGAAAGTGCCTTGATCAGGGCTGCGGAAAACATTCCTGACCCACAGGTCTCAGAGCCCAGGATGGGGGTGGAAGATGCATTCTCCTAACACCCCCCCCTCCAGCCATTCCCAACCCAGGCAAGCCCCCCCGCCCTGTCTGTGTCCATTGGGTAAGCTAATCTGCATGCATACAAGTCCTTTGGTTGCTCTCCGACCCCCTCCCTCCCCTGCCATTTGTCTCTGGATCTATTCTTGTTCATCAAATTATGTGGATCATTATATCCCACATATGAGTGAGATCATGTGATATTTATCTTTCTCCGACTGGCTTATTTCGCTTAGCATAAAGCTTTCCAGTTCAACCCATGCTGTTGCAAGTGGTAAGAGCTCCTTGTTTTTTATAGACACCCCTGTTCTTGTCTGCAGGCTAGCTATGAACCCCCAGATTAGAGAACACACAGGAAATTAGAGGTCAACCTAGTGATCATTTTCATGAGCTCCAGGGAATCCTGGGACATCTGGGAAGGGGGCTTGAACAAGACAGAGGGAAGCAAGGCCTCGGGTCAAGGGCAATGTCACCAACACCAGTAATTGAGTCACACACTCGATTACGTGACATCAAGAATATTTTGTGGCTACCGAGAGGGTTCCATTTTCACAGGAGGTGCTCCTGAGAATGGACGCCACCTCCACTTCGCCCTCGGCAGCTGCTCTGGTTGTGGACGTGACTGTGATCCCGGCTGCAGCCGCCGCCGGCTGGTTCTGTCTGCTTTCTCGGCATGCTGACGCCACAGAGCACGGGGCATCTGGGGGTCTCAGAGAGGCACCTTCTCTGAAGCTCTGAGATAACTGTCATGTTTTCATCGTTTCAGCAAATATTTAAACAGGCGCCGTGCTTGGCACTGCGGGGACCCACCCTAACATTTCATCAGCACTCGGGCCCCAGGCCCCAGAATGGCTCTGTCGGTGACGAAATATTGCACAAGAAGAATCCAACATCTTCACTCAGATAAACCACGCAGCTTACACAGCAGTTTTCCACAAGTCTGGCCTGGACCCATCTCAGCAGCCACGTTTCTCACCACACCAGCTCCCGGGACCCACCAGGCTGTCTCGCGCCCCTGATCTTTCTATGTATACGTCTCCAGGTATCACACAGGCATCTGTTCAAATTCCCCTTCCCCGCCGAACGCTTGGCAGAATTAGTTACTCCCTTCTCAAAACTTTGAAGCAATTGTCACAGTTTCAATAATTTACATGTATAACATCTGCAAACACTGTGAGTCCCCAACAACTGTAATTGTACGAGTGTGTCTGTGTGTGTGTGTGTGTGTGTGTGTGTGTGTGTGTGTGTGTGTGACTGTCTGCAGGTCTCCCAGTGACTCCCAGCCAACCTCCCTAACCTTTGCTATGGGGACTTCAGCCAATAACCTTCCAGGAACAGCCCACACAAAGTCTGAAATGTTTTGGCCAGACAGTGGGACGTGAACTATGTCTCAAACCAGCGAGTGGGGGAGAGAGGGGGGAGGCAGGCCTCCGGATCCGTGGCACACGGCACATTCTCTCCTCGTAGGGCTGTGTGACCAAGGAGAACACTCGCACTCCTGCTGCGGCTGTTTCACAGACAATTATTTGAGCTCATACAAACAGCACCAAGCTACCAGCATCTGCGGTTTCCTAAAAAGGGGTGCTGCCAGCGCAGGTTTCCAAGGCACCTCTGGACACAGTGCTTCCACATTCAGATTTTATTGCACCCCACATGGGCCTCATGAGGTTATTGGGACAGACACGGTCTCTGCTGATGAGGGAGTAGATCCAAAAAGATTAAATATCATGTTCAAATGTATCGACACTAGTCATTGCTATGCTAAGAGTTGAACCAGGTTTCTGGTTCCGAGTTCTAGGTTCTTATCAAACTGAATCCCCTTAAGATGGCTTTCCCCAACCCAACCTGGCCCCTCATCTCCACTCCCTGGCCAGAAATCCATTTGGAAACATGAGGCTTCTGTGTCTAAAGCCAGTCAAGAAAAGCTAACATTTTCCGCCCTAAACGGTTTGGCCCAGTGGATAGTGCATAGGCCTGCGGACTGAAGGGTCCTAGGTTTGATTCGGGTCAAGTGCATGTGCCTTGGTTGTGGGCACATCGCTGATTGATATTTCCCTCTCATCAATGTTTCTAGCTCTCTATCCCTTTCCCTTCCTCTCTGTAAAAAAAAAAAAAAATCAATAAAATATGTATATTTTTAAAAAGCTAATATTTTCCTTGGGGTCTTAATTAAAGGTGTTCCCTGAAGGATTCCCCTCAAAATATGGTCCTCGTCTGGAGAGAAAAGATGAAAATCTTGGGCAGAAAGGGCAGAGGGTGAGGTGGACGGAAGGCCCCAGGTCCCCTGCCCTCAGAGTGGCCCAGCAATGGACCTGCCGCTCTGAGAGGCAGAGGCTGGCGCAGGTGCTGGGGGGACGCAGCACCTTTAGACTCTGTGATCGACAGGATTGGAGAAGGGAAAGATCCTCCTGGCTCAGCACAAAAGTCTCCCGTTTTATTTTTGCTCTCCCACAGTCAGTCCTCCCACTGCAGCCAGAATGCTCTTTGAAAAAGGTTAATCATTGTTGAATATAATTAATGACTCTGTATTGCATATTCAAAATCTGTAAAGAGAGTAGATCTTAAAAGTTCTCATCATAAGAAAATAACTTCAGAAGAGCTTGAAAAGCCTCTGAAGGCATCCTTATGGAGGATGAGTGTTCTCTGAATGTGCAGACTATACCTGACTTCCCTCACTTTCTCCACCCCTTCTCACCCCACCTCACCCCAGCTCCTGCCAGCACAGACAGATGCTTGAAGAATGAATATATCTTACACAAACTGAACAAAGCATTCTTTTTTTATTTTTAAAAAATGTACTTTTATTGGCTCCAGAGAGGAAGGGAGAGAGATAGAAACATCAATAATGAGAGAGAAGCATTGATTGGCTGCCTCCTGCATACCCTACACTGGGGATTGAGCCGGCAACACTGGGATTGAACCATGACCTCCTGGTTCATAGGTCAATGCTCAACCACTGAGCAACACTGGTTGAGCTGAACAGAACAGTCTTGATTGCTGACTTCATCGTTAAGTTTTATAGTTAGGCCCACTTTGGAGAATAAATTCAAAGGAAAAATCCCAAAAATGTTTGTTCAAAGATGTTCCTAACAGCAAAGAACACAGAGTGAGCTCTGGAAAAACCCCAATGGCACAATGACCAGGAAATGATTGTGTTTACCAACTAGAATGTTACACACTCAAAATCACAAGTTTATACTCTGGTCTAGATAAAGTCAGTGAACTGGGCACAAGCCTTTGCTTTCTCCCTCTTTCCACCTTCCAGGTCCTAACCTAAGAACCTAGAAAATGGGAGGGAAAGAGCAGAAGGAAGGAAGGAAGGAAGGAAGGAAGGAAGGAAGGGAGGGAGGGAGGGAG